CCATTACTGTTGACTGTTGACATGACGTAACAATGGGTCATTCTTCGAGGGGTCATGGTCAAGTTATATAGAATTGCAAAATTACTGAACAAGAGGGAAAACTCGTCATCCGGTATTTCCGCTGTTCATATGGCAAGAGCTCAAGCGAATATCGCATACAGGAAATGTTTCCATATCAATTGAACAGGGAACCTTTTTGATTTGATGTTGCTTAATTTAGATGATTATACACTTAAAGGTCTTTATTCAAAAGACGTGGGGATCTCTAAGCGACTTCGAGAATAGTCAGAAAACCATACAAATGATAATTTGATAAGTAGGAACAAACTCTTATAGTAACTGCAGGATTATTCTGGATAACCAGCAACGATTTGAGCAAGCCATGCTGTCGCGATTATCTACATAAAGATATCTACATGCGTATAAACGTTTCATAGAAAAACGTAGATTATTCTCATAGTTCTTTATCAATTCTTTCAAAGTTTATATCAATTCCGCTGTGTAAACGAAGGAACTTAAACTATATGAAAAACTACTCTGTTAGTTCTCCTAAAACTTGCATGCGCTAGCTTCTTATAAAAGGGTAAAAAGTGTAAATCCGTGTTCGAAAATTTCGAGTAAATCAACCCCATATTTAGTTACCGCATGAACCAGAGTCACAATCACTCCTCAACAATTCCAGCGGTTTTATTTTATCAAGAACTTGATTTTGACTGGCGTTTTAACCCCAAAATCGTATGAATTATGGTTTAAGGAAGGCTATTTATGTCACTGTAAATAAAGAATTTTAAGGTATCATTAAAATATTTGTGTTTATCGCCGTTTCACAAACATTGGAATGTTGTGTCTTTTTATACTTAAGGTCCATCATGCAGCGAATTCGCAAATTGGGCGTTTTCTAGACTACCCTGTCACTATCAGTTTGTTGCAAAGGAAACCGGGTTTCTGAAAGAAATTAAAAGGTGGTTTCTGAAAGGTGTTTCGACAAGATATTTCTTAAATCGTATCGCTAAACGACAAACTCGCCTTCATCGCGGCCTGAGCATTGCCATTGGGCCGACGCATTAATCCTACCAAGATATCACAAAGTGTAAACACAGTGATTATTCTTCAAAGACCTTTCGTCTTTGTTTTGACCTGGTTGCATGGGAATGAAGATCCTAACATTGACAAGAAAACCGTCGTCAAACAAAACAATAAATGATTTCGATTTTTAATTTCCTGCTATCCGTGATATATTTACCCTTTAATTTTGACGCAGTAGAAATTTGTCCCCGATAATCGACAGGGTGGGAAGACTTCTGTCATTGACATTGTTTACTATCTACGGACGCGAACAGCTCAAAAGCTTTGCCCTTTTCATGACATCGAGCATGTATTGCAAGCAAAGTATTCGAAAATGTTTATACTACAGACTAGAGTAGTAGAGAGCCATCACCCAAGTGTCAGGATCTATAGACTATATTTGGCTACTGTACGATTGTCCATATATGCTTTTTGATTATTGATCAAGCACATGTGGGCATGTACATATAGTTGAATTTTTGTAACTGATTTCTCAAGCATAGGATTGGGTCGGGGACGTCGATTTAGCGTTGAATTTCTATGTCCGGGCTTGAATATGCAGTCTGTAAAAACACCGAGGTCTTCTGATCAAATTGAATCGCTAGTGTTTAAAAGGACGATGATCGAAGGTTATTTGTAATAATTTCTTCCATTTCCGACAGACCATAGTTGTAAAGTTACTCTGTATTGTAAATTTAGAAGTACAAAACCGTTAATCAGAAAACGAGCAACGCATCTACATGCAGAGACTACACTGCTGTAGAAAAAATCATCGCCAGAGGGCAGATATTATATTCTTTATTCACCCATCAATTTACATTTCATGCCTGCTCAACCCTGGCAAAGGAACAAACGTTATTATAGGGATAAAAACCATAAAATTATCTTTAAATTATGTTATTCAAATAATTGGAGCGTATGAAATTATCCTTAGTGGGAAATTCCAGCTGTATGGATACAGTTATATCACCTTTTAAAATAGCAATTTGTAACACTGTCGATTTTGTTGACACCTTTACAGCATATTCTTCCACCGGTGGGCGAAATTTGAAAAGATAATCCAGGGCGTTAAGAAGCCGTTATTTTGAAAGGCGATACGGTGTCGTCGGAATTGCCTAATTCAGGAATCAGTTTCGTTTAATAATGCAATTGTGTTCTCGTGTAAGCACGACATGATCTTGTTAAATATGCATGCCGTGGTTTAGTGGTGGTTCTCTTTGGCCGACAACCGCAAAATCCCTGTAAAAAACTTTCTAAGAACAACGTCGAAAACAACATTAAGTTGTATATACGATAAACGTAAGAACATATTCCACCGGAAGTGTCAAGTTATGCACGTTTTTACATGCAGACTATGCTCGACTCAGATTTAGTCATTATGTCGCGATTGTCCAATTTTCTACGTCAATCCTGCATAAAAACTTTCTCACAACGACCTTATTACCGGAAAAGCAACGTCACTTAATTCTCATGGGACATTCTCACCTCAAGTACAACCACAAGGTTATGACGACAGACCTTCCAGCCGTAGTCGTAGATATTCAATCCATTTCATAACTAAAAAAGGTTACGTGCATACAACGCCAAGTGAGTCATTTCTGAGTTGATTTTATCTTCAAACAAAAGCAATTGGGCCATGTTCGGAGTTTTCTGCGTTTTGCGTGACCATAACATGCGTGAAGTAAATCATGTCGTTTATCATGTAAGACCGATAAATCATATGTGATATGAATAATATATTATCGACCTCATTCATGAATCTAATGTATTTCAAGGTTAGCCAAGACTTACCAGCTTTTTTTGGCAACCGGCCGCACGGAAGAAAGTATAAGGGTGCATGTTGGAAAATCAGGAAAAAGATAAGATGTTTACATAAGATATTTTTTATTATCCCACACTCTTTAAATGGAGGCGAAGCCTTATTTGTGTATCGATGTTAGTGAAGACAAAATTTTGACAATTTTTTTTTTACCAAAGTCTTCCTGTTTTTGTTCTATTGTGCAAGTTTCTCTGAATTGGACTTTGAACGGAATCGTGATATATATTGGATCAAATCGGGTCTTTGATATATGATACAATGAATTACAATAGGTTCTCGTGATAATCCGGAGAATATTCCAACCAACTTGTGTGCATGAAAATAGGGAATATTGTCGAAAATATTTTTTTTAAAATTGGGGCGATTTCGTGTTCACAGACAGGCGACACAGCGTAGAGCTTCAAGCAAGCGGCAAACGTATCAGTAACTTGAAGAAAAAGAAGACAGAAACCCGAGTATACCTGTCAGTGCATGTGAAATGTACACTTTACAGGCTTGAACAGTTGAAAGCTTTGCTGCTTTTTTACCTACCCTCTTATACAAGTGCCTGAAAATTAAGTATGACTGATTCATAACTGATTCATAACTGCTTCAGAATCTGTACGAAGTTTTTCAACTTTTGATGTACTACCAGTCTTGACAACGCTCGCTGCTCGAATGGCAGACCACGAGATTTCGTGGTTAAATAAGGAAACCATCGTAGTAATATATATCTGCTTTTACATGCCGATCTCATTACGTGTTGTTTTCTTGATAGTTTTTTTGTCTTCGTATCGTTTGTAATTCTCACCTGGGATCAGTCTTTCGACAATCACTACAAGTTTGAGACTCGCTAATCGACATTGCACTTTGAAATGCGACTGTGGGCATCCTAATTGGATATACACCAAGATGATTGTATTTCCTTACAATAGTTTCGAAACGTGTTTTTTTCCTTATCAAGGAATGCATCCTAATAATTCATGACACAGGCTTTGTTTTTTGCCGAGGACAATGACAATGAAAGGGGAAATATGTCAAACGAGAGACGCATCTTAAAATAAGCTTTTGTATTTTTTTCCCTTTTGAGTTTTGATTCGAGGGTTGACATTTATGCAAATTCCCAAAACTTCCCACATCCGAAGATTTTGAAAGCGATTGAGGTGTCAACATCAAAGAATTTTAATGAATAGCTAATAGCAACTATGTGTAATTATGGTCTGTCGACGTCGTTGCTTTGTAAGTGCAGATTTGAATTTCAATATGTGATTATTTTTACACCCAACTGCATGTTTCATAGTAACAATGAATTGTGCTCAAAATCATACTGCATAAGCCGTTAAGTAAAGTAAGACTAGAATTTCATCAACATTATCGTGATTTTACATTCATACAAAGTATTCGGTTACATAGTGTTTTATATAGTGGAATGTATCAATTTGTAAATTGTAACTTTGCCGTCTTTGTGGCTATAAGTAATTTCAAATCTGAATTCGAAATATCTTTATTCAAATCTTTCGGGTGGCAATACTATGAATTTAAAATGTATATAGATAATCGACTATTGTAGTGCTCAGTAGTGCAAAGTCCTAACTCCTAAGCGAGATCCTAAGCCTATAGTTAATGAATCATTCTCGAAATTGTGAATATAATATATAAGCCTGATAAGCTGTACTTAGACGCGAGGGTTTGCCTGCTGAGGCGGACATGGCATATGACAAATATAAGGCAACCTTATCAATAATTCTGCGATTCTCACGACTTCAAATCGTGCTCGAATCCCTAGTGGACTATTGTGAACACATCACAGTCACAGAGACATGTTTAAAAGGGGTTGCACGTTTTGACTGTATATTTGCGAAATGACTTCAGGATTGACATAGCGTAGTATAATACAGTAATTATCCTCGAAGCTTGTTTTGAGAGACGTTATGGTAATTCCGCGTATTTTTGACCGATGATAATTGCGGATGGCCTATTTAATTACGCACACGTGATCCAAACTCATCACTCATTTGCGATGTTACAAAGAATGTGGTCGACTTAATGACATCACAAACAACGCGGCTTTGATGTGCCTCCAATTTGAATATTCAATTTTTCATTTTTGTCGCGAGGCCTTAGATGTCACTCTGCCCCCCCACGCAATTTCGCAATCGCAATTTCTCACCGCGAAATGCGAATTGTTCCCTCGGTCGCGATTGGAATCCGAATATCAGACATATCGCAAGCCTGTCATGTCTCGCAATGACGACACGTAATATTCTGTCCTCGTCGCTTCGCTCCGATTTCAAAGGAAGCACCGCAAGCGAATAAAAAGTGCGAGCTATCGTGGGCGAGAATATTTGCCCGTTGTGACGTCACTGTATTAAGCTTCGCTTGTGAAGTATTTCTTAGCTGTTTCGACGATTGTGTGCTTCCGTTCACCTACAACGTCGCTATTACGTGGCCTCGAAGCACTGTCTTTACAGAGGCCTCGGTGAATTCTGCCGATGCCGAAATCGTTGGCTTTGCCAGCTGGCCCATTTCGCGTTATCGTGTAAACTCTGACGTAGTCGATCTACAAGAATTTTTGAATACCTCTGTGACGTAACGAATTGTAGTTTTTGGCGAGAAACGCCGTTGAGGTAAGAAGACTGTTGTTGTTGTATGTCGACCGGTTGGGGAAATATTTGTGTGTCGAGCCTGTGTGTGTTTTCTCGTAGATCTCGGGGATATTTCTCAATTGGCCGTGTGAGACAAGGCAGATTTGTAAAGTTGTAAACAGATGAGAAAAGAAAGCAGCGAGATGTCGTCTCGAGTTTACAGACAGCATTGCTACTTGTGCGATCTTCCTCACACACCGTGGGCTATGCTCACGGATTTCTCAGAGCCGATATGTCGCGGTTGTTGCAACTACGAGGGCGCCGAACGTATCGAATATGTCATCGAACATGCGAGGACGCTTCGGAAAAACTACGAACTCGAAAAGGCGAAGGCAGAGCAGGGCAATTACTCGAATACATCTCCCAGTCCGCCTTATGCCACGATGAACGGCCGAGCCACCGCAACGAGTCCAAACAGCGCGATTGCTGCCCAACGAAAATACTACGTGTCAAACACCGCGTACGCTTCCATGGGCCGCAGCGAACCGATCCCAAAAGGTATGTCTGCCGGTTTGTATCCACCGCGAGTAAGCACTACTGCCCAGCTACCGTTAGTAAAAATCGAGGGAAATCCAGCCGGTCGCGGATACGCTTTGCCTGCTGGCAGTATGAACGCTGTCATTTCGAGCGCTAGGCAGCAGCAAGGCGCTGAAGGAGACGAGGCAGCGAGGAAGGCCTTCTCTGGCGCTCTTGTCGCTGGCTTTCCTCACCCAGGCGTACATCACGAAGAGCAGCCAAGACTCGTACGAGAAACGCTCGCTACGTTGAACATGTCGACGCCGTTTGATTTACGTTTCAAGAAAGACCCGTCGCTTCGTGCCCGTGCGATGCATTTCGATGTGTTCAACAAATCACACGCGCCGGGAATTAGCGACTTCGAGATGAAGATATTCATCGAGTATCCCTATGGCTCGGGGAATTTTATTCAGAGCGCGTCCGGTGCGGCCAAACAGATGCAGAACGATAGCGTGAAAGACGTGGGAAAAAGCAGCGCTGCGTCGGGTTATAAAACCTTGGAGTACGAAAAAGTACATGGCAGTGGCGAGTGGATTACGCTGGGAGACCTCATTTCGGAGAGCGTGCGGTACTTCAAAGAGCCCGTGAATGCAGACCTTTTGCCAACGCCGTATCGCGAGAACGAGATGGTGAACCCTGCGTTTATCAATCGCGGCGTTCGAAACCAGCGCAAAAGACGGGTGACCCCCGAGCTGGACGGTAGCGATGATATGCTAGCGAAACAGGCAAAAGATGATCCGAAACGACTCGGGGATACTGGGAAAACCGTCATGTCATCTATGGGTCTGGCTTCCAGCAACACAAGCACTCCGATCCCTTCCGCCTCTGTTCAACCTATGCCGGTCTCAACTAGACCGGGGGGGCAGGCCAGCGTCGATGTGCGACGAGGCGTTCCTGAACATACTCGTCTCCACAATGGCATTGCCGATCCTATGAGCGGGGTAAAAATGGCGCCTACCTCAGCAGTCGAAAAGAATTCCCCTATGGGCGCAGTAAAGGACTCGCAAGGGAACTCAGTGACTCCCGGCGTCTTAACTTGCGTGCTTTGCAATGGACGCTTAGAAGACACGCATTTTGTTCAATGCCCTTCCGTGGCCCATCACAAATTCTGCTTTCCGTGTTCTCGTAAAAGCATAGTATCGCAAAAGTCCGAGTCAGCTGAAGTGTTTTGCCCGAGCGGTGAACGTTGCCCCTTACAAGGCAGTAATCTACCATGGGCGTTCATGCCAGAGGAAATAAAGACTATAGAAGGCTATGGTGTGACGCCTAATGGAAAAGACAAGGACAAGTAGAGTGATTTTCGCTCTAGAACATTCTTGTGTGCATGTGCCGTTGTAGTACAATATAGGAAAGCTTTCGCAAGGGTAAGGACGGTTATTAAATAAGGTTACATCTCACAATATTTTGGCTCGCTTTGCTAAACTTATATTCGGTTTTGAAATTTATCGTGAAATTCCATGCCTAAACGTTTTAATTACGAGTATTTGTCACATATTTGTTACATTTATTCGGCAAAGATGAAATCGCAACCCGTTTTCCCATAAAATCTCGTGGCTAAATTTCTGTATTGTTTCAAAACGCACATTGCACAGCTCGCTAGTTTTAATGGCTTTGAACTATGCAATGAATTTAATGTAAAATGTTAAATTAGACATTTTTACGATTTCTGAAATATTGTCTGGCTTTGAAATTTTGCCAAGTATTCTTGGGATTGGCATTAATAAAATGCTATATTCAAGCATGCAGTCGACAACCTTTCAAATTGCATCGATCCAATTCGCTTTTTTCCTTATTTTTTTTATTATGGCCACGTATTGCTTGTATGTATGTAAATTGAGGGAATTTAAATATTATACTCCCTCGTTTTGGCACACATCCCCATCTGGTAAATCTCCCTTCCAATTTTGCCTTTTTTCGCTCAAATTTGAAAACAGTAGAATCGATAAATGGAGAAAATTTTGATTACTAAATTGCAACGAATCACAGACGTAATCTCATGTGGCAAATTTGTTCACTTAATTTGCATATTGAATGTCCAAACCATTTTGTATATTTACCTAACTGTAAATGATTTAAATGGATATATAACGTTTCACTCATTTTTTGTGCCACACAGCCGGCGAAGTTTCAATCTAATTTCGTGATTTATAAATTTAGATCTTGCGCAAGCTTTCCCGAAGTAGCCACAAGCCACATCTTGTTTTTCTTGTACATATTTGATTTAGTAATTAGCCTAGCATGTCGTAATTGTCTCTGGAACGTCTATAACGCGTTTCCGTGTAAATTCCCACCTGTAAATAATTTTAGTTCACTTATTTTTGTCAAAAGAATTGCGCTTAAATCTTATCAGCTTTCGAAGTCTTATCTGTCTGTCCAAAAACCTACGCCACACTCACGGAACTAAATGCCTTATCTATTGTGAGATTGCACGTTGGAATACATATGTACTTTTATGCAAATTTGTCTAAAACAGAATGTATAGATTGAGAGTCAGACATATTAGCATAAGCGGCATGCATGTAGAAAACAACAATTTTAATGCCGGCTTTTCCCACATCACAATTAACGGTGGTAAATGCAATGTGCAAAGGGAAGGGCGATTCTTATTCATATTTAAAAATGTATGAAAGCTTAAAACAGTTCGCGTCGGATTGACAAAGCATGCTTCCTAAGCAAACTTGCCTCTTTTCTCAACAATCTCTGGAGGTTTATTAAGTCTGAAACTAATCTCATTTCTGAATTGCCTGAGAAAGAAAGTACACATTGTACATTTTTCTTCTTTCTCGGCGAGAAGGTGCAACGATAAATGAGGCTGTCCCTCTCTATGTAGATGTGAACGATATAGATTCAATAAACTGGCAGCACACAAGATACTCTCAGTACGCCTGACTGCGTATGACTAGGCAAAATTAAAGAGCCCAAACAAACTGGGTTGTTTACATACACCTTTTTGACAAAGTTACCAAGCGTTTGAGTAGATATTACGACTGTATGAGCTGACATGAATTGTAGGCATGTGCTTTGGAAAGCCCCCCGCCCCATGTAAGGTTAAATAGAATTTGAAAAACATCTTCACAACTATAATTGGTGCATATAGTAGCTCGCGAAGAGAGATGAAAAATCTATGAATATCGCTCAAGCTCTGAAGCTCAATATCGCACGATGACACTTTCCTATTAATGATATCGTGCCCTCTTTAAATCGATAGAAAAGTTTTAGGGAAAATGCCGAACATCAGACTCTCAGGTGAGAGCGGAAATGCCATTAGCATCGACAATGCAGGCGTATATTGATTGCTTGCTGTGTCGATTTGATGATGCTGAAAAAAAACACCCAAATAGCTCATTTTTCCCTTGTGGCTTTAAATTGTGACATGCTTGCAATCTTGTTTATATCTTCGCTCATCCGTCGCGGAGCGAAATCGTGATTGAAAATTATTTTCATGCATGCCCGAAGAACAAATTAATGGAAATCTCATCTCAAAATCTGAGATACATTGTTGTCATGGTAGACAGTCTTATCTATTCCGTGCACATATTTTGCAATGTTTAGATCAGACAGCCACAACTGTATTTGATGCTATCGTCGACCCTACCGAGCCTCTGTTATCAGTCTCCTAGCTGCAAATGATATCAATAAAGCTTTCGTGAAATTATAAATGCACTAACAAATATTATGACGTCATTGTGACATCATGCGAACTGGCATTGAGATGGGAATTCTATTTTTTGTTTTTGTCTGTTAAACGCGTGCATTTTAAGGCGACGATACGAATAGAAGTCAGATCCAGTGATTGCCTTGAAGTAGCAGCGATGAGTTCGTTTTTCTATGTAAACCCAATAATTATAGCTCTGCGTTTCCTACTCTGCAGTAATTATACAATTGGAGACAGCGACTATCATCAATGTCTGGCCAAGTATATTGAAGGTTATTTTCACTGTATATTGGGGTGTATATGATAGATACGACTTTCTAGAAAAGAAACACCACTCGAACGCCTGCCAACGTGTAGAATTTTCGAAACGCGCAAAGGCCAACTCAATGGCAAAATAGCATGGATAAAATTGTTACATAATCCCTAAGAGGATTTAGAGTTTTTATAACTCGCACCAAAAATGTACGATATCCAAAAAAAAGTTACTTATCCTTGTAGCTTTTCACCAATTAAACAGCTCGTAATCTTTATCTATATAGATTGGCATCCACTGCACCTTAATTGGTGCTTATACCAATCTTTTTTAAGATACTACTAACAAGAGTCAAGTTTAAACTGTCTCGGTTTTTATCTCGTTGCGTTAAAATGCACGCAAAACCCCTCTCATTGATTCTATTGGATTACTCCCATGGTTTCTGTTGTGTCGATGAAAGTTCTTTAAGGCAAAGTGGAGCCAAAGTGGGCCCTGCAGACAAATCGACTGGCGTCTAAATTAAGTGACTTCTTTATTGTTTCAATCGATCTTTTAAACTATTTTCGTGACCCCAGTTCGTGCTACAGAAATTGTCAAAGTGTGTAAAGTAAAACAGATCCCAAGAATCTGGACTATTTTATTACTGTCAAACAGATCCTAAGAATCTGGACTATATTATTACTCTATTACCGTCATGGGGGGGGGGGAACCTGTCCGAGGTATCCAACATACAAAATACAGAGGCAAAATGATATTGCCTTCCTTTCAGACACATATAAACGCTAGAATGGGAAACTTTAGAAATGAGGAAGCGAACCTTGACTGCCCAACATTTTGGGAGAAAAAAAAACATTCTTATTTATCCGTTTCCCAACAAGCCCCTTCATGCTATTAATCGATGAAAAATGACGTCTTTCTAATAAGCACATTTGACATACTTTCTCGAGTCTCAAAATTAGTTGGAACGCTTGCACATTGTCTGTCAAATGACCATTGTTGCATTCTCGGGGATAAAATCGCAAAGATTGCCCGATGGCGAGATTGTGCTAATGCATGGCAAGGCGTTTACATACACATGTGCATTGGAACTACATAATGGATTGGAATTTGAACCCGTGATAACTTATACGCGCCTAATTCACTTTTCCTGAAAAAGGCCTTCGGTAACAACACAGATTGATGAGTTGAAACACATCAACACCTCTGAACTGGTATTCGAGATCTCGTTCGAGATGAAAACAACTTTACTGAGAATATCGCAGTAAAACGCTTAAACATGGGTTATTTTTACCGCGTGTGGTAAAGAGAGATAAAAAAATTGATGCTCTACAAGCTGAGCCGTTGGATTTAATTTATCTTACCTAGATCAAAATTTACTCGATATAGATATTGCTGGAAGCACCAAATAAGCCTTGCTATATAAAGATTGCATGGGAGCGTTTGCAGTAGTGCCGACTATGACTACGAAATTCGTCATTTTAGCGTCAAACTCGACTATAAGTACGAAATGCGATCGTCATTTTCGCGCCAAGCTCGGCGCTGTTTGCTTACGCCATCTGACGAAGCACGTATAATCATTGGTCTCTTAGGGTACGAAATTGGTCAATAAGCTCGTACTCATAACTTAAAAACTCGACCACACTCAAAGTTTAATTCGTCAGATGGAGTAGGCAAACATGCAACAAAGGAGAGGGACGAATATCGTCCTGCAAAAGCTCTATAATCACGCTGCATTGATGATGTAACTATGTCGTGAGGATTGTGTTATGTAAATTGAGTTAATTAAATCCCTTGGGGCTATTTTTGATCGCATCGTGATTTAAGCTGTTGGTGCAACAAACCTCATTGACCTCTTGGCGTAATTACGTTTATCGCAAAGGAACGAAATTCGATTATAAAAAGGCGGCATTCATTACATACGTCTGTGGTCTGTGAACTGTTTCGTTGGGGTTAACATTTGCATGGCGGTGAATGCAATTCACCCGAGTCATATATCACTTGATATTGTTAAAATACTGAGAAGAAACGGCGCGGAATTTTCTAGAAAAAAAAAGGTGCCAATTATTGAAAATGGCTATTGAGTTCCGGAATAGACGCCTAGATATTTCGCACTCGACGTATAGCCAGCCTTACCTGCATAGCAATTTATAATGCAGCGTAAAAAATAGCTGCTGATGTTTGACAGGGGAAATGATGGCATAGTTTTGATAGTGTTTTATCGCTGACGAAAAATCTTTAAGACTTTTGAAGTAGTGAGAATGCACGCATCTGGGAATAATGCCAAACAATTAACATGCTACATGATATATATATACAGGCAAAACAAAGGAAAAATGAAGAACCAGCATAAAATCGTGGTTGTAACCGCAGATGAGGCGAGATTTTAGTCGCATCTTTGTTACAGATGGGTTAAGGTTTTAAAGCTAGTTTTTTTACTGTCCATTTCTATATATACATATTTGAGTATATATTTGGTTTCATTGTCATTAAGCGCTGTATAGTCGTGCTGGGGCCCACGTGCATGTGTCATGATAACTTAATCTTCATGTGTTTGTGACTGTTTAATTTCGTTTCCGGAAAGGGAATATAGTCTCTGTTGCCAAAATCGAGGTAAACACCATTGGAAAATGTAGGTTTTTAGCTTAGAGTTTTTTCTGACTGTCGAATAAACAGAGGTCCCAAAAATGAGGAAGTGTTTCAACAGAAGGTTTTTAAGCTATAATTGAAAAACAACTTCCTATCTGACTAGGGCTGGTGCCTGCATGCAATTTGGTAGCCCAAATTTATATGTTTACGACGATCTATCAGTTCCAACATTGCGTTCACGGGTCCTCCATTTTACCATTAAACCTTTCAATCTTCTGGTAATATACTCACGTACTATACTTGTACATTTTATGCAAACCTGGATATATTCTATCTTCCTGTTAACTTGTGAAAAATTTCTTTGATATATATGGTAAAAAGAAACCTATCTATCTATCTCAATAGACTAATATAGCTACACCATGAAGCACCAAAAAGAATGCCTCGAAGATGTAATATATACTTAAACAAGTCTATAGTCTAAGGTTCACTATTATCAATTGTATGAAAGAGTAACATATTAGAGAGCCTTAGCAGTGACTACGAGTACAAGGTTCGTCATTCTCGCGTGTTGTTTGCTTACGCCACCAGCCAAAACTCGTAGTCGTTGGGCTTTCTAGTACGAAATTTATCAAAAAAACTTGTACTCAAAAACCTGGCGACTACGAGTTTTGGCTGATGGCGTGAGCAAACAACGCGCGAGAATGAGGAATCTCGTACTCGTAGTCGCTGCTAAAGCTCTCTAGGCTAATATGTTATTCTTTCATATACAATTGATAATAGTGAACCTTAGACTATGTACACATCATATACACGCTGTCATTTTGGTCACGTTTTCACTTGTGGCTCTGC